TATTAAAGCTCGATGTTTGAATTCGTATAAATAACTGCGGATAAACATAATCAAATAGAGGATGAACATCTCATTTTAAAATATAAAAAATCTAAGATATAATTAGAATAATTATCGAGTTCCAACAAAATAAATAATTATTATCCTTATAAAAAAATTATATTATTAAACCAAATATAAATTACTTCGCTCTTGTACATAAATTAAATTTAAAAAAAATTGAATTAAAAAATTACACAAAAAAATGAGAAATTTCAAATAGTAAATTTGATACTAATATCGATATATTTTTGTCAAATTTGTATGATATCTTCAAACATATATTTTATTTAAAAATAAAAACATCATCGCTTTCTCAAAATCACATAAAGTCATATTATAACATCAGCTGAGATAAAGAATAAAATGAAATATTAAACTCACGATGTATCTCGCTGCATTGCGCGAGTACGCTTCTAGTATAATTTAATGTGTACTCTATATTTTACTAAGAGTTACTACTATAATTGAAAACCTCAATCATTATGTTATCAACATTATTTATTTATTTATTTATTTATTTATTTATTAATTAATTAAATTTAGTGTTAGAAAAATGTTTACTATTTAAAAATAATTTGAATATGATAAGGGAACACCACATAATAATTTAAAAGGGTGCATTTGTGATGGTAACCCAATTCCCATCACATCCATGTTACCTCCAAACATATCCACACTAAAACTAATACCTAATCCAACATTCAATGCACCCTATTTGATATTAATTATTTTCTTATTTTAATTATAATTATAATTATTATGTGATTTTAAATTATCTAATTTTTAGTATGTATATATGTTGCTTTGTTTTTTATATTTCTCTATATTTGTGTAGGTATACGTATCAAAGTATTCGTTGATTACCGCTTCTGAGCAAATGGTCATAAGTCTTCATTATCTTTCCAACCTAAATCAACCAGATCCAGTGTATTTCATTCGAAAGTAGTTTAGGAGTTGGAATGTATATATGCATACATTTTTTTTACTGTCAAAAGGTCATTCGCTCAACGATACTCGGTAACTCCACCTTTCTGGAGGTAAGGGTTCGAGTCTCACAAAAAACGTATGAATTGTATGTCATTTAATTTGCCGTATATAAATATTTGAGTAAACATCAAATTTGGTTCTTGTGGTTTGTCAAAGATAACACAAAGTGTCCTTGCATTTTTGAAATTACAAGATGGCCATTGTGGTTTGCTAAATGTTCGAATTTGGTCCCTCCTTCTAACGGCAGTTAAAATATTATGTTAAATGAGGGTCATGTTCGTTCTTTTATCATTTTTTTGTCTTTTACCCAATCAAAAACCACAAAGACAAACATCATAAAATTGATTTTGATTGGATAAAAAACAAAAAATTGATAAGAAAGACGAAAATATCTCTCTTTTGACGGAAGTTTACAGTTGTTAGGGGGAGGGACCAAACCTGGTCATTTTTGCAAATCATGATGGCTATCTTGTAATTTTGAAACTGCAGGGACGAAAAATGTTAGTTTTGACACACCATAGGAACCAAATTTATAGTTCACTCTGAACCATTTATGTTACAAGGGGAGATGCTAGTACGATGAATCATCAACCGATCACACCTACTAGGCTTTTTTAGCCGTCACAACATGAAATTAACTTTTATGATAAGAAAGAACGACGTCTTAAAACTTATATTTCTTTCCTTGTTCATAATCAGGTCAATTACTTGACAGTCGCGTAGCTTATTAAAGCCTGTGATGGAAAACTATTGTAAGCTTCTACTATTCTATGAAAAATAGACAAAGATTTTACCAAATGTTCACTTTTTCAGTTATGTACTCGAACAAATGCACATAACTATATTATAATTAAGTTCAAATTGCTATAGATTTCATCATCAATCATTAATGTATACAAAGGTCTACATGGCGTGAAGCCAAACCGGGACCGAATATAAACAACCACAAGGTTCTCACCACATCTCAATAGTTTGCAACGGGTAATAGACATCCACAGCTGATAATCATTACAAAATTAAGGAAAAACTTAAACCTAAAATACCAAATCCATCTCTAGAATTGATCACATATTCCCTTCCCTTTGGATGAGCTTTCCACATGAAACTTACCTAAAAATAGTTTAGTTATGAAAAATGAAGGTTAAACCAAAAGGTCTAGTGAATTCCCTTACCTTCACAATCGACAAATAAAACATTTATAGTGAATAACCATCAATGAGATACAACAACCAAGTAAATATCCATAACCCAAACACGGACTTTGCACAACGTTCATAACCACATTGTCACACTACCGTGACATTCACAATCAAGGCCCTGTTAGATGTCTATCCAATGTGCAGAAGAAAAGAATTCAAGACACATAAATTATCACTCCAAGAGATTTCACCATCTTAAGGTACCTACACTCGTTGTGCAAAACCAAATTTCCCACGTAGCCAAATATTATTCAATACACATCGAGTGTACATGATGGCAACTTGCATAATTAACACATCAATGCATGAAAACCATAATCGGTACTTTAAAAACATTTCCAAAAGATCAGATGTTTATAAAATTGAGGTAAGAGAACTCACTTGATGTTCCACTTCTTACCACAAGTCCTAGCTGTTAATAAGTGTAAACCGAACACCTTAATTAATCGAATTGGGGAGGGTGTTAAACCTTCACAATATTCCAAATACACCATTTGCAAATCTCTAATTGATCCTCTCAAACAATGCCCCAAACTACCCCCTGAAACGAGGATTGAGAATGAGAAAATCGCACTGAAACAGTTGTTCCGACGACGTGGTTGATTCGACATCTAATCAACTCAAATGAGTCAACAAACTAAAAAGGATGCAACCCTTACTCTCCAAATTACCAACAATATTAACCAAATAAAATCATGGATCACCATTTTCGATCTTTTACCGAAAACTCCCAAACTAGAAAATAGATTGCCAACAACTCAAATGAGTTAAGAGAAAACGTAATTAAACCTTCAATCTAACAACCAATTTGATTAAATGATGACTCTCCAAGAAGGAGGCAACCCTTACTCTCCAAATACACAAATAAACCCAAAAATCTCCAATCAAGAAGAAGAAAGACCTCAATAAAGAAGTAACTCCAACTTATAAACAAGAATATTACCTTGTTAGAAGATTACTCCCCTTCCTCTTCTCTAGTCCTCAAGGATCTTTCATAGAGAGCATTTCTTCAAACACTCCATTCTCACACACACAAGGATAAGAATGATCTAAGAAAGGAATGAAGGAAACATTTCTCCTTAACTCACTAGTTACCATTCCAGTCCCTCTAAATCGGGGATAATATCCCCATAGACCCTACAATTCCAAAAGCAATAGATAAAGGACTAGAGTTATTACACTGACGAGGCGACGAAGTCAAGCCTCAAGTCATAGTAGTCACGACGTCTTTCAAGGCCTGACAAATCTTTATAATCATATGTAATAATGTGTGTGTGTATATATATATATATATATATATATATATAAACATATATATCTATACTATATTATAAAACATTTGACAAAAACTCTTAAAACCCATTTTTATGCATAAAGTACTGTTTATTACTTAAAACTCAAAATTGCAAGTAGATAGAACATTAAAATCGAGATGTGTCTCGATGTATTATAATATCAACAGAGACAAATAATAAAATAGAACATTAAAATCGAGATATGTCTCGCTGTATTGCACGAATACTCTTCTAGTATATATATATGTTTTCTACTATTATTTAATGAGTCAATAATAATAAACAATTTAAATTAGGTTATATATTAAAACTAACAAATAAGACATTTAAAAAATAAGAAAAATCAAATATCATATTACAAAACCACGCGTTAGGCCATGGCAATACCATAAAGATGACGTGACATGAAACACATGCTTTCAATCATGATATGTCATTATAGCTGTTGTAGTAAACCTTTTAAAATAATGAATGTAGACACATTTTACTCTGAAACATATACAATCTCATAAAAAAAAATACAAACACACCTGCATGGAAGGATACATACATGCATACAAACACCCCCCCAATATGTGTGTATATATATATATATATATATATATGTGTGTGTTTCTTTATGTATAAGTTTTACATGCTTCTAGATTCTATATGGAAATACGTACCACACAAAAAATCTATATTATTTTAAGGTGGATGCCAATATTTTGTTACTTAGCTTCCGGAGCTAAGTAAGACACACATACTAAATTAAGCACTACAGGTTTTTGTCCACATTATACAAAAATACAAGGATTTTTGATTTTTTAAAACCAATATATATTTTATTTCAGTTTTTTTTCATAACTTAAACCATGTCCTCGAGTTGTATTATGAACTTAAATGAAGAGATTAAAAACAAAAATGTATTTTCATATTCATTAATAATATTAGAAGGATACGCGGATAATGCAACGAGATACATCTCAATTTTGATGTTTTGTTTTATTTATTTTTTTGTCTCAGTCGGTGTTATAATATAATTTTATGTGGTTTTGAGAAAACGACAATGTTTTTACGTTTTGAATAAAATATAAACATGAACTATCAAAAAAAAATGAAAAAAAATATTGATATTAGTACCAAACTAACTATTTAAAATTTTACTTTTTTTGTATTTATTTTATTTATATTTATTTTTGGTTTGATAATATAATTTTTTAGAAAGATAATAATTAAGTATTTTGTTTAAATTCAATGATTATCATAATTAAATTTCAGATTTTAATATTTAAAATGAGATGTTTATTCTCTATTTGATTAAGTTTATCTGCAGTTAGTTTACACGAACTCAGACATGGAGGTTTAATAATTTGTATTTATGCATAATTTACTTGTAATCCTGAATTTTCAGTAATGTGGATCAATTAACAGTACTTCATGCATAAAAAATAGTTTTTAAGAGTTTTTGTCAAATGCTTTATAATATAGTATAGATTATTTTTGTTTAATCAAAATTAAGTTACCTGCGAGTAATAGTTATTATAAGCAATAACGTTAATTTTACTACTTTTATTTTCTTGTCTTGAATCAACTATTTATTTTATTTTTAAAATGAAAAATAATTAATTAATGATAACTCAATCACCATCATACAAAAATAATTTTGAACAATCCTGTAAAATAATTTACTTTTCATTAATTTTTTATTTTAAATTGAAACAAACTTTCAAAAACAATATTTGAAGGATTATAAATTTGAATTTATTTTAAAAAAGGGAAAGGTGTGTTTGGGTAGAGTAGTAGCCAAAAGGCCTTTTACGTATTCAAACAGAATCCTTCTTGTTTCACTACTCGACAAGACTCCCCCATTTCTATTGGCCGGCAAAGAACCCCTTCATTGCTTTTATCCACTGTTTATCGAATTATTTATCTCACAAGTGAATATAGAAAGTATCGATAATCTTACATGTTAAGAAACGATGGCAAGAACTGAGAGTCTTATCAAGTAAATGAGTGTGAAAACTCTTTCTCAATTGGCTTTTACTGAGCAAATTGTTGTATACGATTTCATTTTGATGGACTTCAATTTTACCCGACAAGACAAGAAAAAGTGTTGAGTTCTACCGGTAGACATTTACTGGATAAACGTTTTAGTAAACAACCCCTTAGGTTAAAATTTTTATTTAAATTATAACGTGATAAGTTGTAGGTTCAAGAGTGAATTGTGAATTTGGTCCCTAGGGTTTGATGTTTTTTTTACTAGGCCTCTATGTTATATTTATTATGAATTTGGTTCTTGTGATATTCAATTTGTTTGAAATATGATCCATTTGATTAACACATCCGTTAACTCCGTTAAATCGAGAGCCATTTTAGCATTTTGTTCATTCTTTTGTTTTTTTTCTATAAAAAAAGTAAAAAAATAATATTTTTATATACACACACATATATATATATATATATATGTGTGTGTGTGTGTGTGTATAATTAATGATATGAAAATAAATAAAAATAAGATATTATTTTATGATTTAATTCACATAAATTAAAAAAGTAATTATATTAAATACGATTTGTTTTTATTGTGTTAGTATTTTTGCATATTTCGGTATAAAAATCTGGTTGAAGTTTATATACGAATTTGTTTAATTTTAAGTTATAAAGATGAGAATATGTATGAATCTTCCATTTGATTAAAATCTAAATAGTTGATTTTGAGTTTTTGAATGAAAATCAGTATGAACATTGAAAACTCTAATTTTAGAATTATAAAATTGGAGTTCATTTATTAATGATTTTGATGTTAAAATATCAATAATAAGTTGTTTATTGCAATGGTAACAAAAATAACAATAAAATTAAATCGTCTTTAGCATAATTATTTTTTTAATTTAAGCAAATCAAATCACAAAACCATACCTTATTTTATTCACCCTAAATAAAATAAGATATGGTTTTATGATTTGATTTCTTTAAATTAAAATTTAAACTACATTAAAATATTAAAGCATATATTTTTCACCATTACAATAAAATAATAAAATTAAATTGTATTTAATATTTTTTTTTAATTCAAACAAATTTAATCATAAAATATCTTTTTTATTTATTTTGATATCATATATATATATATATATATATTTGTATGTATAGAAAAATTATTTTTACTTTTTTAAAGAAAAAAGATTTAAAAAATAAACAAACGGTTAAAATGGTCTTTGATTTAATGGAGTTAACAAAAGCGTTAATCACATAGATCATCACCAAAACAAATTGAATACCACAAAAACCAAATCACAACAAACATACCATAGAAATCCTAGTAAAAAACCGACCAAAATTCTGTCTAAATTTAAAATTTAAGTATAAAACTGGACCTAAAAGGGTCAATTGACACCCATAATATATTTTATATCATTTTTATATATAGATATAGATATATATAGTTTTGACCCCAAAAATATGGTTTTACCCTAAAATATTAGTCCAAGTTCCAACTTTCATACACATAAAAGATTAACCTAACCACAAAGGTGGTGCTTGATTGGTTTGAGCTTGAATCTAAAGGTCAAAAGTATTAGAAGGTTTCAGGTTTAAATCCAAAAAGGAATAAAAATCACATTGGAATTAGTCGACTCGCATAGCAGGTTGGATATCCAGGTTAATTAAAAAAAAAGATTAACCCAATAATCTGAATCTTAGTTCATTGATTTATTGTTTATTATATGTTAACTGTTAGGATTTGTATTTGTTAGTTGATGCTTGGTTGTAACTTCTTTTATTAATTGTTAATAAGCTATACATATATAGTAATAATTTCAAAAATTATTAAAAAACATGAGGTAAATGTTCTATAATATAGGAAATAATTTAATATATCATAGGAAGAGTTCTAACGATGCCACATGTGATTTATGTAAATGTGAAAATACTTGTAAGTTGTAAGTCCATCATTTTGTTTTGATGTTACAACGTAGAAGGATTGAGGAAACAGAAAGATATCAGATAAATATTTATCTTTTCTAGGATTGTTGAAGGATAAAACAAAATGCAAATTGCATAATGAGCAGACATAGCCGATGATTGTGGACGTGGTATCACTTGAACCACCAGTTTTACAAGATTGAGGACTCGACCAATATTCAAAAGGGCAAACCAACCATCAAACAACATTCAAGTAGGGGAAAAACGACCTCGATGGAGATGGGATATCGATAATGGATGTATCGACATAAAAAGTCTTTGATTTATCACATCATAAGAGGTTTTTGATTTATCGTAGCAATGTCACAACAAAATCACATCATTATGGACAAAGGATGCATCTACATAAGAAGTCTTCAATTCTAAAATTAGAAGTCCTATAAAACCTAAAACCAGACATCCCGAAAATACCAATAGGATTAACATCAACCATATGGTTACCAATATTAGCATCATTTAAGGGATAAAGACAAATCATTAAGATAACAGAAATTGTTGGTAAATACATAATCACGTTAGTGCTCTTAATGATTTATTTTCTCTTTTTTAACATCCCTAAAGTAGGAGATAACTTAAACCGTGGAAATAAACGGAATAAATATTGGTTTAATTATAATCACCCAACAAATGAGAAATAGTAAGAGGTTTATATCAATAATGGACTATAACTAATAACCCACTAATCTAAATCAAACATAGATCTAAATTACAA